GATAACAACAGAGAAAGAGCGTTAATCAAAGGTGGATGAAGCAGGACATCCGTCCAGGGAGATCGGATCCCGGCGACAGAACAAGGGTACAGAGGGTTTGATGCCCTTTTAGCTGAAAAGAAGTTCTCACTATGTACAGAATATGCCAAAAATATTCATTTATACTGACTGTGTTTGAATTTATTTTTATTTATTTAAATTTATTTGGCTATGCTTAAGCATACTTGTCAGTGTTTCAGGATTTTTCAAAAACATCTAGTAAACAGGTTGAAAGGGGTTTAGTTAAATTTCACTCAAATTCCTCTTAATCTTGAAGAAATGAAAGTCTTATAGGCTACTGCAAGTAAATATCAACTTCACATTAACTTCACACAAGTTACAGTGGGTAATCCAGGTGATACAAAGTGAAGACAAAGGGAGTTATTTTTGTATCACGTGCTAAACAACACTCCCCACTGACTTTTGAGAACTGAACCGAGTTTAACCCTTTCAGCAGAGCAGACCAACTTCCAAAATCCCTGTTCAGATACACTAGTCTTTCTTAGTCATTATGCCACCTATATAAACAAGGTTATTTAAGTCATAACCTTGTTTTCGTCTATTTAAATCTCTCCTACTCTTTGTTCATTAGTTTTTTTACAGTCTGAAATAGTTTCAACCAGACATATATGCATTTCTCATAAGCAAAGCCAGCTGATCGCCAGTGTGCAGCTTCTTATGTAGGAGAGACTCCATGTTTTATTTAGCTGGAGAAAACTCCACGACTTTGCCTATAGCATCCAATTAAATCCCAATTTTGAAACCTTGATTCTGGTGATCGGACCAGGCCTGTTAAAACCTTAAACCTTAAGATCTGAGGTCCAAAATCATAATACTGCTTCTGTCTGTCTAATGTAATTTGGGGTAATTGTGAGATTTGCTTCATTTGCCTTTACATCTTCATTTTGAAATACAATCAATTAACCTCAATAATGTGGTTAATTAACATCAATACAGATTTATCCTACAGTAGACAGAGTAGTGGTCAGTAAACCTTAAACCTCAGTCTGACCTCAGCTTCGGCAGGAGGCGGGAGAGAAAAACATAGTGAATAAAATTCATCATCTGTTGTATCTGAGCTGAGACTGCACAGAGTGCATCTTTACTGCACAGAGTGCATCTTTACTGCACAGAGTGCATCTTTACTGCTGGTGAAAAACATTCAGTTTAAAGGATGGCAAACTCAAGAGGTTATGATCACCATACTGACAGCAGCAGATGCCACAATCTGTCGCCAGAGACTACTGACTACCATCACCATGATGACAGAACATCCCTCATTGGACCTTTAAAATCTGTCTGTTTTCTACTAATAACACTGATTTTCAAGCGGTTTCACAACTTTGACAATGAAACAGGACAAAGCACTGGAAATGAGTATATTATCTTAATAAAGGTGGATTAACCGGTAATGGAAAAGTGAATAAAGTATTCATATAGTGCCGTGGAGTTTCTGTTGAGTAATGAACCTTACATAAGCTTCAGCGCAGACCCACTTGATTGATGTCTGACGGCAACATGACACTACTACTGCCTGGCTGATGGTCAGCAGAATACTCCCATTCATGACGGTTCAGAAAGATGCGCCCCACCTGTGTTTTCAGGGGGCTCTGGAGGCCTGGAGAAAGCTTTCAGAAGTTTAGGAGTTGGGGGGGCGGGGTGGGGAGTGGATGAGGACAGTAGTTTTGCCCCAGCCACGCTGCAGCTCACTGGGGCTTTTATCGCAGAGTAATCCCCTACAACAAACAGAATGGCCGGCATGTGCATGTGCAGCTGTCGCAGCCTTAGTGCAAGTGGTGTCATGTTAAATCACAGGAATGGGCCGAGCCATCCACTGCCCTTCCCTTCACTGGCATCCCACTCAGCCCCGAAGATCCAGCATACCCAAACACACGTACACGCTCATACCTATGTACATTATCCACTTCCCACTATCGCAGTATGCAGCTCACTGTACCTCTGGAGTTAGTTCCTGTTAACAACCAGTGGTCTACTGTTTCCTATACATCATTTAAAGTACTTCGCGTATGTTTTCATTATCCTTAATCCTTTTCGCATTTTGTCATCCGACAGCTACAGACGTCAGTGTAGTTTGTTGTGATGCTGTGTAACACAAAGTAGAACATAATTATGAAGTGGGAAGAAAAGAGCTTCTTTGTTTTAATTTATCTGAAACTCTGACAAGTGTGGCATGCATTTCTTTACTCTGCAAAACAGAATTAAATAAAACAGAGGCCAGTTGTCGCTTGGAGTTCCTTAATTAGTAATTTTAGTCACTGTGGCATAATTTAAAGTGGTTATAAAGGCAGCTGTTCTGTGAAGGTCTCGGGACTTTAAGAAACTTTGAGTGAACAATCATCATCATGACGCTCGAGGAACACAGCATTCTGTCGCATTTAACATTTAAAGCAGGGTAAAGTAACTAAACAACATCCTGGTGTTTGATTGTTTCAGTTGGCATTTTTTTACGCTGTTATTCAAACGCAGAAAAGCCACAGCAAAGAGATTTTTGTCCACTTACAATAACAGACAGGGCAAGGAGTGTCAATAATAGTCAGCCATGAGTTTGGAGGAGCTGCAGATATCTACAGTTCGTCCAGGAGAAATGGCTTGAAGGACAGCCAATAGTCGTGCTCTCCATAATGTTGACCTTTGCTCAAAAGTGAGCAAAAGAAGTCATTCATAAGCAAACATATGGAAGAATGTGCTTTGGTCATAAATTAACTTTTTAAACCTTCAGGCAAAATTACAATTCATAACACCCTATGTAATCCCAATGAGATGCATTAAAGTTATTGATTGTAATCTGCCAAAATATTGGTTCAATTGGTATGAATATCGGTATGAATGCTTTGTGCACCATAAATGGAACAGTTTATTTCAGTGAAGCCAAAGCCAGTGGAACACCCAGTTCACGCTTGGCAGGCGGAGCATCTTCTTTGAGAGCTTTGAAAATCACAAATACTTCTGACTCAACATTTCAGCTCGCTCCAACAAACTTTGCACCACCCAACCACTGTCCAGCTAAAAGCAAAGTAGCAAAGTAGGAAATAAGGTTTAAGACTTTACCAACAGAAGACGTGTGTGCATAGCTGTGAGGAAACGATTACCAGCTTTTCAGTAACAGTTCCATCATATGGCTTCTTTTCTTCATCTCTTTTTATTCAGACACACCTCTGTTGTTATTTCACCACCTTGTTAACACCTACTATCTTTATACCTTCTTCCAAACTGCTCTCTTTGTTTAGCTCGGGCTCCAGTGACCTTCTCCCATGTCAACGCTTGACAAATATAGTGTCCTGGTTTCTGCAGCGACCAAATAGTCCGACACAACAAAGGGGAGCGCGCGTGTGTGTGTGTGTGTGTGTGTGTGTGTGTGTGTGTGTGTGTGTGTGTGCGTGCGTGCGTGCGTGCGTGCGTGTGTGTGTGTGTGTGTGTGTGTCTGCATGGAAGTCAGACGGGAAATCTTGGGGAAAAAAAGCCTGGAGGCAGAAAGCTGAAGGACATAAGAAGAGGAAGAGTGGAACTGTATTTATGAATTACACTCATCCTTATGTACTCAGGTGAAATATTGAAAACAATAGTGATGTTCAACAGACTAGGTTATGGAACAATGAAGAGAGAAAGTGTCTAGCTGTTCTGAGATGTTAAAAAAGCAGGAACTGTCACAATAGAAACATGTGGACCCCCCCCCCCACGCTCTCCACTCCCTCTACCATGCCGTTCTAGAGCTGCTGTAGGGGCGCTACAGCATTCTTCGCCTTTACTCGATGACGCACCAGATGCCTCCAAGCAGAGCAGTAATGTTTCACTAAATCAGATTTAAGATTTGCCTGCTCCAAACATTTCGGGCCACAATGATACACAATACCTTTGACCAACCTTCATTTGTATTGAAACATTGTTTGAAAAAGAAGTGACTTTGTGCTACCTTGAAATAGATTTACCTTTAAAGAGATGAGTCAAGTAGCAGTGCAGTGTAAATGTTCCTCGATCCTTTTCACATGTTATCATGTTACTTCAGTCTTGGTTGAGATAAGGTCTGGCTGATGAACATGCTTGTATTTAAACTATTCCATTGTAGCTCTGGCTGTATGCTCAATGTTATCCTGCTGGAAGGAGAATCTCTGCCCCAGTCAAGTGTTTCACCAGTTTTTCTGTCCAGTATTGACCCCATCCTGATGTCCCTCTCTCACCAGCCTCACTGCCCTTGCTGAAGATAAGCACTGACACAGCAGGATGCCACAACTGTGTCTCACAGATGGACTAGTGTGTTCAGGGTGACGTGCAGTTCAGGTTTTCTACCACCATATGACCATTTGTCATCTGATGATTAAAATACCAGATGACAAAATGGAGGGAGTTTTGTTGGAAAATCTAGTACCATTATTTACAACACCCAAAATCAAAAGTAATCAGATGTCCGCATTACAAGAATGTTGGCGACAATGTGGAGAAGTGAAAGCCAATCATTCACATTTTTTTGGGAGCTACAAAAATAACTGATAATTGGGAACATGTTTGATCAATATTGACTCAAATCCTGGGCTGTACTTGACTAGTGAAGTATTTGGATAAAACAACAGATGTGATGAGGAAAGTTACTGTCATCGTTACATTTATGTCGAGGACAACATAAATGGGGACTTTCCACAAACAAGACTTGCTCTAATGAGCACCTAAATAACATCCTGCTCCACAGAAGCAGTGGTATTTATGTACCGACAGAAAGCAGGAGAGGACGTCTCGTCTGCCCCACTTCTCAAGAACGGTCCAAAAATAAGTCAAGGACAAGCAAGCAGAAAAGAAATGGTGAGTAAGCAGAGGAACTTTGCAGGTGCTGGAGCTCAGTCAGAGAAGAGACAGAGCAGCTGCTGCGTCGTACAATGACTGTGTCTTCGCCCAGTAAACACACATTGGAAAGGAGAGTTGCAATGCCACTGATGAATATTTCAACAACATTTAATATTTTAAACCTTTATTGCTCAACAAAAAACATTCAATAAGCAACAATTAGAGGAAAAAAAGAAAAGCGTACCGTATTGGATTACATTATAAACTTCTCAGAAATGAATCACTTCCGTCAGCACCTGAATCTATATCAACTCTATCGCCTACATGAGGTCTATATGTAGCACATTCCCATTATGTGTTGACACTTAATGAAGCTGATAAATGCTACTGGCTTTATTTATAAGTTTATATCTAGTTATTGGCTCATAAGCTTCAGACCAATTCTGCACAAGCTCAAGTCACGGTAAAAGGCATGCGCTAAATGTATATTACAGATTTGTACTGATACAGCTTATGCAGAAAGCAGTTATGTGACAGAACTCTCTCCACCTACTGGCAGAAAGATTAAAGGCAAGGAAGAAAAAAACTGGTTGGAAAATCTGGCACATTCAATGAGGTGAACTTACAGTTAGAAATCCATTGAGAATCTGTAATAATCTTAATTGTGCAAATTAGATAGAGGATACATTTTACTTATAGCACACTGAAATGAAATGGCATCAGTAAGGTCAGAAAATGCAAAAAATAATCAGAATAAGATCTACTATGTACAAATTAAGTTTAAAGTTATTACATGGCAGTGTAACGCTTAAATCAAACTTTTCAAGAAATGTGATGTGTGGATGCTCTTACAGTTGCAACCTTCTCTGCTTCAGATTAGGCGTTTACAACACAAACGCCATAAATAAATTAAATATGAAGTCGTTTTCAACTTAAATCAGAGAGGTGAGAAATGAAGAGTTACCTACTACAAGCATGAGTTATAAAGGTCAGAAACACTGAACAAACACCACACTGTCACAAGGAAAAAAGTTAGAGCTGCAATCTTCAGCAGGTTAAATATTGTATGTGGTGAAGCACTCACACAAACAAGATTTAAGCCAACATCTAATTATTAAAACGTATTTTTACAAGGCTGGGTATTATTTTAAGATAATTTTGGAATGAGGCTTTCATAAATCTGAAGCTGATGTAAAAAAAGGAAAGGGGTTGACTTGCTAACCTGCTATCGGTCAAATTTATAAATGGCAACTCTTCTCAGAACAACACTAAAGAAAGATAAAAAGAAGATCTAATTTATTTAGAAAAGAAGAACATATTAACTGATACAACTCTGCAAACATAAAGTAAGGGTTCAGGATAGGAACATTTATGTGGCTATAAAACAAGAACAAAACCTTCATGAGATCAATTAAAACCTCAAACCAACTGCTCAAGTGTCAGCATTTAGCAATAAATAAATAAATAGTTCTGCCTTGTCCCTTATTTAATTTAGACAAAATAGAAAATATTAGTTACTACTCTTATTGCCTAAAAATACTTTACAGGCAGTTTGATGCAAAACAACCATAGCAATGAAGAGCAAACTTTACCAAGTGCTGAAATTTGTGTTTTCTTATGTGTATTTTTGGGGATGGGTAAAATAAACATGTTAAACTATTTATACTTTCATCTGTGCATTGAATTACATTTAGGTGCCAAAACCCTTTGGATCCCTTCAGCTGCTCTTTAGAGGATGAATATCTTAATAACTTTTTGAATAATCTTTCCACATCCTGGACAGGGAACCTGGAACTTATGCAACCTCCTTGCACATGGGAAACATGTAAGCAGGTGAGCCGTTCGTCCATGGATTATATTACCATTACGCGGTCTCACCCGACACAGCTTGCAGGGCTCCAGCAGCGCCTCCGGTCGAACGTCTTGGACCTCCATACCCAGACTTTCCTGGCTTTCCCCCTCTGAGAGCTGGCCGTGCTTGTGGAAGCCAGATGGGCGTGGCCCTTTGCCTTTACTCATACCTGCTGTGGGAATCGGTCGGTCAGCTGTGGAGTGGGAGGGCAGGATGACTGGGTCTGAGACCGTCCTGCTGCAGTCTGGAACATCAATGCCTGTGTCGCTGTCGTCCTCTTCATCATGGGCAGAGAGAGAGCTGCATGCTGGGATGTCGGGGACGGAGAGAGAATGAGCCAGCCGGGGCACGTCCTTGTACCAGTTTTTTCGTAGAGCCCAACAGCGAACGCAGTACCGCTGGACAGGTATGTTGTATTTCCTGCACTCTGTGCACTGCCATGCATCCTGAGAAATAAGACGGACACAAAGTCAAGTCTAGTTCTTTGACATTCAACTCAACAAAAGGTAAAAGCACAGATCTTGCATATAGGTACACACCTGTGTGGAGATCTCTGTATCAGTGTCATCACTCAGACACTGAGAGTCTTCATCGGGTTCTTCTTGCATCTAAAAATAAAAAATAAAAAAAAGGTAAATAAGCTATATTAACCATACAACTGTGTCTTCAATCCTCATATTAATGTATTGTCCTCCATCTTGTCATCTTATCTGTTTTTTATTAGTCTAAATACAGACATCCAGCTTGTCATCCTGCCATTTGTGGTCAGAGCTACAATCTACAGAAACATTTCCAGACAAAAACCTTTGAAGAAAATCTCCATTAAAAAAGTAAGCTGCATACATAATTCACTGAATAAATAAAATGTAGACTGGATAGGCAAAAATCCAAAATACCTCTCGGTCTGACTTTTCCTCCTTTCCTCCTCCGTAATCATCATCAACAGAACCTTCTTCTCCTCCACTTCCCTCTTCTAGCGCCGCTTCCTTCATCTCCACACTCACTTGCTCACTCTCACCCTCTGTCAGAATCCACAAGTCTTCTGTTGTGTCTGACACGATGGCTGTGTCCTCCTCCTGTGCAAGAGACAGCTGATTCATCAGTCAGACTACCACCCACTGTCAAAAAACAATTTGTCTTCAAAATAAATACATATCACCAAAAATGTAGTACAAAATTATCTATTAAAACTTTTGTTTTGTCTTCAAAAAATATCAAAACCATTTTAACCAATTTCCTAATGTACACATGCAATTTTCTATTCTAAGCAATATTTGAGATGAGAAACAGACTGGAGAAAATCTGATGTTTTTCTACTCAGTGAACACACCATGTGCAATCGCTACCAGGTCTCGTGAACAACTATCCTTGTTGACAACACTGTTACTGGCTCAAAGTTGACCATTCTCAGCAACAGTGAGACTTGTTTTATGTTGACTGCTCTCATACATAGCAGGATGTTGACATTACACCGAACATAAATAACAATTTTCAGCTGAAAGGCTCAAATGAAAATGGCTGTTCTTCTACCTTCATTACATCAGTGAAGACAAAAATCTGAACCAACTAACATCAGAATATCAGCACTGTACAAAAACCAGCAATTTGAAATTGCATACAAAATTTTGTTCATCACATCAAAAAGGGTTAAGCAAAAACAGTAAAACAAGAATGCCTTTGCCATTCTTGCCAGATTTGAGCTATCCAAGCCTCTTTTTAAGTTTTCCATTTCAAGAAAATGAAATGGAAAATCATCGATTTATAGGTTTTCAATAGTTGATAAGTCTGAGAAGTTGCCAAGCCAATCTGAACTCCAATGATGATACAAGAGACAAGCAGGTCGTCAAGATGGTGTTATAAATGCACATTATGTTAGAAGATTGTTTTTGAACTCAGAGAAAATTATTCTTTAAGTTAAATTATTCTTTAAGTTTCTTAAGTACTCCATTAGATTTTTTGCTTTGTTCTTCATTATGTTGACTACCTGGCAAATTAAATAATTATTTCTGAAGAAATTTTGTCTATTTTTGTTTTAAGCATCATCATCTACATTGTTGCAATGCCCCAAGTTTCAAACAGGTCGAGTTATTTTTTCCCTCACTATTGGATCCGTTGACCATATTTTACCATTTATTTTAAATGTCAGGGTGTACAAACACGAGGTCTCTTACTTGGTTTGTATGGATGTCAGTGGAGCCATTGCTCCTGCGGCTATAGTTATTACGCAGATTACCCAGAAACCACCAGGGTAGACCAGAGAGGTCCCACTCCTCCAGGGTGACATCCAGTTTGGGGCGCTTGCAGGCTGAGCGAGGCAGGCCTTCAAGCGACTCTGTCGAAGTTTTGAACAGTTAGCTTTTTCTCTCTGGACCCGGTCCTGTTGAGGCGTTCTGATGCTGCTTGCTCACCATCGTCTGGATCACGAGGTCGTCTCTGAGAGGGGGTCTGCAGAAGAGGCCCTTCACTCCCGGCCACCACTCCTGCTTTGACCACACCCTCATATATCTAAAGAGAAGAGAAACATGGAAAAAAAAATTATACCGCAGATCCATAACTAGATCCTTGGAGGACTCACAGCTCCTTTTCAAGATGGCCTTCGAGAATGGGGGAGGTAGTACAAAAGGATGAAAGGTTGAGGACTTAGAACAAGGAAAGGCTTAATTCATAATTTGATTATAACTTTAAATTAAAATAGCAAGTGTTGGTAAAACAAAGAGAAGACTGAAAAGTCAGTGCTCCAATTAAAGTACAAATACATATTCTGCAATTTCTGCAAGTAGTGCTGCTTGCAATTTGCAAAATTTAGAAATGTTCAATCTAAGGAAACAGGACAGAAGACAATCTACAACATTTCTTAGAGTAAAAGTACATTCATAGTGGGATAAAACATCTGCATGGTTCACATTTTTAAAACTGTCATAGCTTCAAGGAGAGAGAAAGAAGACATAAGACACCTCATCTGAAATTTGATCATCATGAATAAAATACAAATATATCAATCTCTTTGATTTACAAAGCTGAAGTAAACTAATATTAGATTAATTATGTTAAAGTAGCAGGGCAATCTATCTACAACTGGATTTTTCTGGGGAACAGGAAGAATGGCACACAGGAACAGGTAGGCGGTGCGTTATTAGGCCTGTACCAGAGCAGGAGCTGAGAGCCTCCAAACTGAAGCAGAGAAGAGAACTCTGAGACAGACAGAGACAGTGACTCTGCCCCCCCCATCCACTGGGTGGAGCTGGTGGGTCACAAAAGAGTGCTGGAAGTACCACCAGACCAAACCAAGGATGGGGTCGTACAGAGACGGTGCCACTCTGTACAAACGTACACCAACGAAGACAGCAGACCGTCTCTCACTCTCCTCAATGCACACAAGCAGAAGGAAGCTTCCTTTACCAAAACTTGTAAGGAAATAATTCTTTTTTTTTTTTAGGAAGAGATTCAAACAGTTGTACAGGAAGCCTGTGAGTCGCTGAGTATTGTGTGCAGTGAGGTGAATAAGGTCTCTGTTTCTCCTGAGCACCATGCTTCGGCTTTACCTGACCACGATCCTCCACTCCGCCCTCTACACACTCACGGCCCACAGAAAGATTCTCTGCAGCGTCTGCATTTCAAATGAGACACAGTAACAAACAAAAGGACACCCCCCCTTTAATGATACGAGTACACACTCTCTCACTATGGCCTTCAGATATGTGGAGCCTCTTCACTTGATTTGAAGTACAAGCTGGATAACATTTCTTCTGGCCCAAAAGAAAACCCCTGCATCCTAATGTGATGCAAAAACTCTAAAGTGTGCTTTTTGTCATTTTCTTAAAAGAAAAAAACAATATGTACAATGTGAAAAAAAAATGTAAAAATTAGTCCTTGTTTTCCCACATTAGCCGCAACATACAAAAATAAAAGGAGATTCGTCAGACAAAATATTCAAAAATATATAAAGGATTTCAAGCAACAAACAGGGTAATTACTTACCACTAGAGCCAAACACAACGAGGTACTTCTTTAGCATTTCATACACTGGGCTGTAAAATGAGTCAATTAGAATTAGTAAAAAAATAAATATATTAAACAGTTTTCAGCCTGAATGAGTAAAGACGTTATGAGTAAAGGTAAATACCTTGGATTTTTGACAGAGAAGCTTTCAACTTCCAGAAGTTCACCCAAAGGATCATCCTGGCAATGGACAATGTGTTGCCTCTGTTTGTCATACAGCTGCTTCCCCATGATATACTGACCCAGGTAGTGCATCACCTACACAAATTAAAGGATAGATGCTGATTATTTCATTGTATGCCAGAGGTGACCTTTTCACCCTCTTTGGGGGCCCAAAACTTAAATATACAGCATTAAACCAACTTCCCTCTCACACACATCATAAAAGTTTATGAAAATCAAAATTTGTTTAACCCTTAAATCATCACAGTTCATGAAATAGAATTTACACAAATCACAAAATTTATTTTCTATGAAGTGTAAAAGTCAGATGTGGTATTGATCCCTCAGATTAATTTCGTATTTATGCTAAATACACATTTGTTTTTTACTGCAAAAAAGATATTCAATTTATATAAACTATCCCTTTGACATGTCATAAAATCTTCACTAAATGATCACTAAATGTTGTGAAAATAAAAATATAAACAAAAACAATATTTGGTATATTGTTTTTGTTTTGATTTATATATTTTATAAATCCATCTGGGGATGTTGCTAAATAGAAATCTAAAGCTTAGTGTATCCTGCCCATTGACTGAAAAGCCGTGGCTTCCATATCATGTGCACGTTTCATCTCGTATCCATGTGCAGGGCAGTTTAGTCATCACTGCTGCAGAAAGAGTGCAGACACACCTTCAACATGATGCAACCAAAACGTGTTCTAAAATAGCACTGTGTAGTTGTACGCTTTCCAAGCCATCTTGTAACCCAGACGCCAGAAGTAGACTCGTGATTCACACTTGATCGGGAAGCTCACCTCTTTGAGAGTGAAGACATCTTCCTGAGCTCCAGCTACACGCAAGATCTGCAGCAGCGGGGCTTTTGGTTTCACCTAAATAAAAAAAAATTTAAAAACACGATTGTTTAGCATCAAAATTTGCAATAACTATAGCACATGATGCCTGGATTTTTTTTTTTATATTACCTGATTACCCTCTCCGGGAAGCGTCCTGCATGACGAGCTTGAAGCCTGAGGCTGGGTCGACAGGGAGCTCATAGTAGAAAACTAAACCTGAAATAGAGTACCAATGCGCACGTATAAATATATAGCGCTAAATACTATTCCTTATTTCACACAGTTAATATGATGCTTTTCAGTCCTACTTTTCTACACAGCCAAGTAGATATGGTCGTTTCACCAATTACTTTCCCTTTGTAACCCGCAGGTACGATAGCACAATGCTAACGTAACCGAGAAACCCGTTCGAAGAGTATATCTAAACATAACGTGACTGCATTACTGAAATGCTACTGTATACCAGACATGGCAATGGCACTTGTTAAAGCAACTGCTGCATCTGCAACAGTTCCCATCAACCGCAGCTGCCACGCCAGCATTAGCTAACCTAGGCGGCTAACAACAGACACAATAAATACCTTCGTTACAGATATCTCACCGTTTAGAGTTGGCATTACTTCAGAGCAGCTACATTGTATCACTCGCACTCTGGTTCTGTGACAACGAGTCAATATAATATAATAATAACAGCAAGTATAGGAAATAAGATTTTAGCACGAGCTAATGCTAATAAATAAAAAGTGACGGTTAGTAGAACTTCAGCTTTAAAACGTCAGTGAACTTCCGGTCATGTAGATGAGATGTAGCGCCCCCTCTTGTTCTTCTGCTTCTTCTTCTTGAAATTGACAAGGTTGGGGTTACTTAAAAAAAAAGTGGTGAAAAAAGAAAAAAAATCTCAATATACAATATTGAGATTGTCACACAAGACTCCCAAAATTATGGAAACCTGTTTCCACCACTCTGTCAAAAAAAAAAATCTCATTATTTTGAGATACTATCTCATTATTTTGAGATAGTATCTCATTATAATTTGATAATTTATTTAATTTTTTTGACAGAGTGACGGAAACGGGCTTCCATACCATCGCCATCTCGCTTCATACAACCACTTTTCTTGGCTCTAATTTAATTTTTTAAATTATGCAATTAAAGTATGGGAGTGGGCCTTGGTTTTTGTTTCAACTACAGTTTCATTAGTCACCCCCTCCTCCCGCATAGTCCAACCTTTTCTTTCTACTACACAATGAGTAATTTTGAACGACAAAAGTCTCCTGCTTCTCATTGTAAGCTGTTTTAAGCTGAAATTGTTATCTACTTGCATACTCAAATCACTATGAAAAATAAAATAAAGGTAGACATAGTCACTAGGTCCAGGAAACAGCAAATTTTAAGTGTGCAAGGAAAAATATTGGTTTTCAAAATTTATTAAAGTTTTTAGTATACTCTGTGTTTATTTATGACTTCTACTATATGTCTGTTTTTTCTCACTTTTTTCAGTACAATTAAAATGCAAGTGTATACATATGGATAGGTGGACATGTATACACATATAGTGGATACAGAACTATATGAGTATACAAGTATTTTTATTCTAGGTCTGATCTGAGAGTTACACTTATTTTGATGGAACTAAGAGAAAAACATGTTCTAAAACCTTTGAAGCCCTTCTTTGGCTTTTTCATTAGTTGCCCCCTCCTCCCATACGGTTCTCTATAAACGCATCCGATGCCTGTTGTTGCTTTGGGGAGCTCAGTGGGCGTGGAGAACCAAAACAAAAAGGGTCAGGAGCTGAAAGGAAACACAGCATTTCACACAAGACTCCCAGGAATATGAAGAGTCTGCAAGAAGGCATGGCTGCAAAAGGACTGATTGTGATGGTCCTGGTCACCAACATCTGTGACGGAGGTGATATTAATAACGTCGCAAGAGGAAAAACATTTTGTCAACAATTGTCTGTGCAAAATTAATGCATTCCTGTCAAATATTTCTCTGGCAGCACTCCTTGGGAAATCATCAGCGTATGACTTCCTGCAGAGAGTGAGAGAAAGGCGTGGACTGGAGTGTTTTCCTGGAGGATGCAGCTCTGAAAACAGTGAGGCTGAGGAGTTGACAGATGTCAATGCAGGATATGTAAGTACATGCAAATTTTACAGCTGTGCATTAAACCACTGTCCTCTGAAACAAATTTTCTTTGACCATTAAAACTAGAACACAGATAACACATTACTACTTACAACATAAGTGTTAAAGCCAAGATTGTGATAAAAACAAATTACACATCTTGAGTCTAAGAACTAGTCAGTTGTATGGTGACTATTTGTGATGTGTTACAGTATCACAAACCATCAATGAAAATGTCTAACTTGTCACCTTTAAGATGAAGAATTTCAAAGGCTGTCAGAGTTTCATCTAGCTGAGGTATAAAAATTTTAACCTCGGAACTGAATTTTCAAATATTTTAACGGATTAAATGTCTTAGAATTCTGCTAAACTTAATTTTGCTTAATTTAAACACATGTTTGAATGCAAGAAAGCATGCAATGTCAGCAGAGGAATGTGTGCATGGAAATCAAGTTTCTGCACCAAGTGAGATTCTATCCTTATGAAACCAAACATTACGAACAAAGAGCACATCCAGAGAGCGCACTGAAGAGCAGAGAAGTAGTCCTCTGTTTAAAGGGGATAAGGTGTAACTTAGTCAAGCATGTCAGCGAGGCGTTTACCATTACCGTGTTCTGACATACCAGGCTTTGCAAAGTCATTAATGTTACTCTGTTGCTTAGTGAACCTGCTGCATATATCAGATGTCCCAAGTTAAAGCCTACAGAAAGGTTGAATTTGTTTCAGCAGTTGCTTTGTGGGTCGAGTTTGCACCCTTACTGCCAGTATTTCTTTTGAGGCATTTCATAGAAACCCTTTAATGCAAATCCACAAATATTTTTTTTTAAACAATATGCAAATAATAATAATCTTTCAATCAAACATTTATCACAGGAGGAGAATGGCAGCATCCTGTACCATGGAACTGTGGCCAGTAAAGAAATAAACCATGTAAGCTCTTAAGAGTCTGACACTGAATAATTACTTCTGAAGAAAAACGGTCTTACACAAAGGTTTGCTTTTGTATTTTCACTCGTACTTTATTTTATTTTTTCAGAATCCTGCAACTGAAACTGTGCTGGAGGAAGGATCTGGAATGTAGTCAGGAGGGGAAAGTAAACACAAGATAAAGTTTGGTTTCTCCGAAGCATCTTTGTACCAAGTTTAACCTTGCTTGCATCTCAGCAAAGAAACAACAGAGAATGTTAGAAATACATTATTGCAGTTCTGAACATGAATAATCTTCTACAAACTTTAAGGAAGTTTAACGTTTAAGCAGAACAGGAAGAAGAAAAGAAAACAGAACATATTTCTATAAAATTAAGAAGAGAGCGTAGTTAATCTATTGTCACCAGTTCAATTTGTCAATGAGGGTAACAGATTTCATGTGCTCAAAGCAAATACTCAATTTAGTGAGTAAGAATGTATAATTTAGATCCTTGTGTTGACATATAATGGGTAATGTTTTTGTAAGTGAATAGAGTACACACAAGCACAATCTAATCGTACATATAACAGTCAAATAAAGTTTTTACAAACAATCAAATAAAGTTTTTTATATACTAATTCTGACTTATTTTGTTCATCTTTTTTGCAGTGAAACATGTTGTATAAGGGGCCCACCAAACCATACCCTCACCCACAACAGCTATCCGCGAGGTCATTTCTATATTTAAGGTCACAGCACTAATAACTTATCTGAAACACTCTTTTACTAGTGCATTAAAAGACAACTTAACTATTACTGTTATTGTTGTTACTATTATTATTAGAAATAACTGTGGTGTGTAGATGATGAAGGGCCTTTGAAAACAGTCTCGTTTTTGTTTCCATTTATCACATGCTGGTCAAGGCATATGATAAATTGATGCTTTTCTTCGTATTTCTCTGCCATAAAGCCTAACAGTATGAGAAATACTCAGATTATAATTTCCAGTATAGTGTTTTTATTTTGGTGGTAAATCTAACAGTTGGGTTTACATTTGAGGTTTTATCTCTTAATGTGACATTCAGGTACTCGTTGGCTGTTAAAGACCGGTGGAAAACAATTGTCGTCTTCTTATGTTCACCCTAATCTCGTTTTTTTCGTTCGCAACGCGGTCAAAGAGCGTTGTTTAATTCTACATCAATATCTCCTGTTCACTACACTTATTTTGAATAATTCACTCATAGAATCAGTCCAAAATTTATTCGAACAAGGATTCGGAATTAATTTATTTCTGCATATTAGAAACTTCAAGGTAAATTCTGGTAAAGCAACAATTGATATAAACGCCCCACTGGTTTTGATAATTCTCTTTCATATTTAATTTATAACTGTATAAACCTACCATCTCTGGAAGCCCCTGAAGGCAGCAGATCGAACGACAGTACTTGGTGTTACAGCGGCTGATAGCACACTTTACAAACAAGACACAAAAGCGGCGGAGACGTTCAAAAGAAACCAGTTTCACCATGTAAGTATCTTATGCGTCTACTCAATGTGCTTATGATCATATTTTTTACAAAACGAGTGTTTACTGGACATAAGAGAAATACACGTCATACAAAAACAACGCCCAAAACTTTTCTGTATTAGCTTGCAACAAGTGCTAATACTTTAGCACCACTTCTCAAATGTAAACCCGCTTAGCTAAGCTAAGCTAAGTGTAGCCGTAAAACATTGAAACTTTTTAGCTGTGTTTTCCATAGACCTTTTCTCAATTTCTTACTGACGGACTTTGATAAGAAAAAGACAATATATTTAGAAAGTCCTTTCAACATCCACAGCTGATTAAAAAAGTATCTATTAGCTGGGAAAAATGTGATAGTTTTGAGGCGAAGTAACCTTTTTCTTTAGCTGCAGCTTTCCTCAGTTGGCTAGCATTGCTCCAAAACAGTTACGTGGATCTTTTTAAATACAGTTTCCTTGCATACTTATTGATTTTGTTCATACAGAGTCAATGTTTGATGACGTGTAATCTTCAGCGGAACATACATTCAACTTTAATGAAAGGGAAATACTGATAAGAATGTTTTTGACTTGAACCAAGTAATATTTGAATGTGTTGTCAACAATAATTGTAGTAAGATAAGTTGTTACGTAAGATAAGTGGCTAAGTTACGTTTGGAATTAATAGTTGTCAGTGTTTTTATGTCTGGAAAATAAAAGTTCTGAACTCTTTCAGTTCACATTCTCTCAATGATAAATCGTATTATTTCATTGATCTTATGTTGACATATCAGTTTTTTTTTTTTTTTACATTTTTTTATTTCTAAGCAACTGAATCATGGTGCACATTAGGATGGCATGCTCAATTCATAATAAATTTACTGTTCCTCCATTTTCTATTGAGTTAAGAAAAACTACTTCTAGCTGGGCTTTAGTTCCCATCAAATTAAAATGGGAATCTGCAGGTGAGACTTCAAAAAATCATTGGTATTGTTCTGGAAAAGCTTTATCTCTGTTACTGCCATCACCTGTTTCTTTAAAGTGGATATTTTATAGATTACAAAGCAAATATACTACAATGTAGTTTCTTGTTCTATTTCAGCATATCCAAATTTGCAGCAAACAATGCTTCCTAACACCCTGAATTTGTGATTTATTTTCAGTGTGCACCCTGGTCCTATGTTACTTTTTTTAACCTCTTATCAACAGATTTCCATATTCAAGATGCTGGTATCTTAA